TATATATATACATATATCATGTATATATGTACACATTCAGATATATGTAAATAAAGCTATTATGATTGCATTTAAAGTAAAATATAAAACTATTATGAAGAAAATTGTATAACTACCAGCTATACATTATATATGTACTATGTGTGTGCATATGCATACACATTATATTCACATATACACATGCATCATCATCATGATCAGGTTTTATGAAGACTAATAGCTTTTTAGATTATGAATTAAAGTTTATTAGGTCCTATGCATTTTATTAATGTCTCCTCCCTCTATTTTTCTAAGTGATTTGTTAAAGTGAATCATTTATGACTTTTGCAGTCTAACAGACTTATGGGCTATTTATATTTACTTTGATTCAAACATATGGATAATGATTCATGTTGAAATAAAAGTCAGAGGAAATTTTGTCATGAAGATATTTAGAAAATCAAATGACAAGGCAAAACTTACCTGTAGGACACCCCACAACTGACAACAGTAGAATCAGTTTCCATGTGGAAGCCATTGTTTGTCACTACAACTTGAAGGTCCCAGAGGGTTTATCACCTCTGATGTCTCTTCATTAAACAATACCCTATGGAGAAAGATGGCAGATTGTATTTTATTGTTATTATTAACTTTTTATTTTAAATGGAGAGTTAATACATGTATCATACCGTTCATGGTTCTGTCACATCAAGCAGTATTGAATTGCTACCATCATCAGTTTCCCAATATTCTTTTCCATCCTGGATTCCTTGCATCATCTCCCTGTTGTGAGTTCCTGCCCCGCATTGCACTCCCCTTCTCCCCATACACCAAAACACTTATTCTACTTGCTGTTCCTAAAGGTTCAACAATCCTGGGTTTCATATACCAAAATCCAGGAAAAATTATACAACACAATTTAAAGAGTGTGACCCCTAATGCCTAAACATATCTGAGATAAACCCTAATACGAATAAAGAAAAAAGCAGAACATGTTGACAACCATTTCAAGATCACATTCAGTATGCACCAGAGGGGGAATCAACTGACACAGTTTTAACAGTTTAAGATGACAGATTCAAAAAAAGGAATTTAACAAACAACAGAAATTTCCAACAAATCAATTTTAAAATCTGGTAATAATAATAATTATATATAAAAAACTTTTAGTGTAAGGACCGATTTAAATAGACTTGAGTACTGACAACAATAGGATTGTTTTTATTTAGAATCCATTTAATACTCAACACAAATACTTTAAAGAAGAGATAAACTTTCTCTATTACATTTATTTATGTTGAATACTCCCTTACAGATGGTAAAAACATCAAGTTCTAATGGGGATAAATTTTTTTCTCACAGGAAATGTATAATAGCTATATTTATTATACTAGACAAATTATTGGACTAGAAAATATGGTAGGGGAATCAGTTACATTAATATATACTCCTCTGGTCTAGAACATAACTAATGACCAGTTAGGCAAGTGATTTTACACATTCTGCCTGTAGCTCATCTAAACCTCCACAGGGAATTTTCTCATTTAATTATTAATGTCAACTGCCTTTGTTTTTAGCTCCTGTGATTATATGTACTGTGTTACAGTTCCCTTCTTTGGTGAGTTATCTCTCTCAGCATCATTCGCTTAGCAGGAACCTGGGGGAAATAAAGATTTCATGAATATTAAATATTCTTTGTCTTAAGCCATTTTTATAACAATAACTAGAGTAGAAAATTAATCTCTTTGGTTCTTTTTTCCTTGAAAAGTAAAATTATGTATGTGTTCTAAACTTAAACTCCACTCAAGAGCTTGAAATATGTGCATTGGAAATACTTGAAATAAAGCAGTTTCAAAGTTTCAAGATGTCATTTAGCTATGTATTTCTTGGCTAAAATGGTTATATTTGTACAATGTGTAAATTATTTGAAAATAATAATCACTTCATTTATTTGTTTCTCCCTGTGTACTTAAAGACAAAGGTTACCTTTGTATTGTAGAAACCATCTTTAAAATATGATGTAGTCTGAGCTTATTCCCCTAGCTCTATTTTTCAGTGCAACAGAGGCAGGTCCATAAGGGGAACAGTACTAATAGAGAAGCATGCAGTCCTAAGAATAATCAGCCCATTCAAATGAAAAGCGTAGCACTTACTCAAGGACAATGTTCAGAAGGATTAGGAAGGAGGACAGAGGAACCACAGGGAGGAAGTGGGATAAGTGATGTTATACTGCCAGATTCCAATCAATGGGAGGAAACACGTGTGCATGAATTGTTGAATGGAATACTGATCTGCTCTGTCAACCTTCACCCAATTAATATTAAAATATTAAAAATATAAATACTTTATACACAAGCATTTTCCTCTCAAGTTAGGGCATAATTTAATATAGTCACGCCATTGGAGGGATATCGCTTATTAAAGATTTTCTACTTGAATTATGTTAGTTCTATTTTATTTTATTTCAAATGAAAGCCATGATAAATTATCTTAATTGAATGTTTGGGAATCACTAATGGCTGTGGGAGTTAATGGTCATTGATTTATAAGCACTACCCCCCACAAACAAACAAAAAAGATATTTTTACTTATTTTTCTTCTGGGTAAATTTTAGAAATAACTATCATATGAAGCAAAAAACACTGATCAAAGATAATGTTTGTAGTGTAAAAGCATTACTTATACACTCCCTTTTACCACAAAGAAGAAGAAAATCAGCACGTCAAACATACACAGCAATTAGACGTAAAGTTCCTAGAACTACAATTATGAAGCATGAGACCTGTGAGGTTGTTACATAATCTGTTGTCAAGTTGAGAGTTAAGAGTGAAGGGTTGGAGTTTAGCCTGTCAATCAGGTCACAGCTTGATGACCTCATTTGGAGGCACTAAGGTGATAAATAGCTTATTGGAGGCAGGACACATGCTCACTCCCTGCAAGACATTACTGATTTTGAGTTTGATGGAGCTATGCTGATAGCAGGCAGAGCTCTGGAGCCCGAGGAACCACACATACCCCTGCCAGAGCTGAGTTGCTTATATCACCACTGGATCCACAAAACTTTCCACCCATTGGCCTGTGATCGTCCTGCATTTGGCATCATTGGATGTGTTGCGTGAGTCTGAAGAGGAGTGTATAAGGATTTAAAATTTCAGAAACTCCAGATCATAGTTCTACTCTACCCCATTGGGTCAAGCAGGATGCCTTTCTCCTGGGACTGGTCCTCCTACTCATATGTCCACAGTAAGTTGAAACCTTGTTATCCTTGCTTCTAAGGAGCATTCTGGCTATACTTTTTCCAAGCAGATATTTCTATTCTTCTGGCAGTTCAACATGCATTCCACACTCTTCACCAACATTATAATCCAAAAGCATGGATTCTTCTCTCTCTCTCTTTTTTTTTAATTCACTGTCCAGTTTTTGCACACACGATGCAACTGAAAAATACCATAGCTGAGGACCTTAGTCAGAAGGGCTGCATTGTTTTCTACCATTTCAAATGGGGTTGTCTGCAGCAGATTTGCCCAGTGAAATATGTTGCTTGATTTCTTGAATGATACCAGATTAATTATAATTAGTTATTAAATGTTACTAAAGTAAAACAGGAGAAATATATCTATAAATAGCTCATGGTACATCAATTTGTTGTGCATCGAGGCACTGAAAACCCATCACTATGAATTTGTAAGCTACCACTCAGATCTGTGCAAACAGCAACTCATGCTTTTAAAATAAATTATATTACAGCTTATAATATATACCTATCACTACCTTTGTTATTCAAGCAAAACAAAATCAGATGACATCAATCTACTATGCAATTTAAATACATGTGTATATGTATATATATGCAAGGACTGTAAAACAGATTATTGTGTTTGGATTAATGTATGACTTACGGCATCACTAATGAAGGATAAGTAAACTGTGGGAGTGACTGTATAGGAAAGCCCTTAACTATATGAAAATCTAGTATAGATAGGAATTAGATAGCTTGACAGTAGATGCCACACTAACTCAAACATGTGAGGATGGCACAGAACCAGCAGGGTAACATTCAGTTAGACTCAGTGTTCAGGGAAGCCCCGTGTGGAAAGTGATTTGACAGCAAGCAGAACAAGTGATAGGCTGTATAAAATAAATCAAGTGATAGTATACTGTCGCCTGATTATAAATTAACTTGTTCTTGAAGATGTACATTGAAAATTATCCTGTCAATGTTAATGGCATGTGTGTGTGTCCACAGACAGGCAGAAAGAGATTCATTATATATATATATCTCACATTCCCTTTTCCATATTCCCTTTAAAATTAAAAGTAGAATTTTTATATAGTCTGCCAGACCTTAAATTACCTAGTTTTTGCATCATTTTTTAATTTCATCTTGTAGCATTTCCCCCTCACTTACTGCATTCCCACCATTCTTACTTCCTTGCACCGCCGATAAGCCAAGCGCTTGCTGTTTTCTGTCTGGAATGCTCCATCATAAATTGTTTTCATATGCTTCCCTTTAAATTATTACATTATTTGCTCTGCAGAAGGGCCTTTTCTGGCCATGTGTCCCCCTTCTTTCCAGTGTCCACCTTTTCTGTTTTATTTTTTCCCTAGTGATTATCTTTATCTCAGATTCCACTCTGTATCCAGTTACTTCTCAGTGATCTCCCCCCAGAATAGAGAATCCAGGAAAGCCGACCTTTTTGGTTTATCCATCATCAATTTAACCCAACAACAGTAATGCTAGGAAGTTAATAAGCATTCAATGAAAACTTTTTGAATAATAATTATTATAAAACTTGGAACCTGCGGTAATTAAATTATCTGGTACTAATTATCGAGGAACAATAACCAAAAATCATTACCTCCTAGATTTACATAATAATCATTATGTTGCTGTTGTTAGCTGCTGTTAAGTGAGCAACAACAGAACAAACCATTTTCCCCTCTGCAAAATGCTCATGAGTGTTGGTTGGCATGTTTTAAGTTCATGGTTACACCCACTGGGTAATTTGAATGCATTTCAACTTGCCGGATTCATTTTCTAGCACGTTCGTCCGTAGTGATACATAGAGTTTCCATTGACTAATTATCAGAAATAGGTCAGGATTTTCTTCTTAATTTGTCTTAGTGTGACATCTCCACTAACACCTGTGCACAATGGAAGACCCTGCAGGTATTTGAAATACTAATGGCATAGCTTCCAGCATCACAGCAATACACAGTCACCACAATACAAAATGACAGACAGGTGGTAAAATTAATAATTATAAAACTGCCAACCTCACCGCCAAGCAGTCATTATTGACTCAGGATGACACTCTAGCAGTTGCCATTTATAAAACACTAATTGTCAGGCATTGTGTTAAAGACCCCTAACTGTACAATGGTTATGCACTGGGCTGCTCAGCTCCACGTCAGCAGTGAGAGACTGCCACTCTGCAGGAGAAATAGAAAGCTTTCTACTCCCGTGAAGAGTTACCATCTCAGAAACCCACAGGGGTAGGTGTGCCCTCTCCTAAAGGGTTGCTGTGAGTCAGAATCAACTCAAAGGCAGTGATTTTAGGGAACATTTTTTTACCTCCACAACCTCTGTTAAGTAATTGGGCAATT